TGGTGTACTCCTCAGTATAATAACACCGGTTCCGATCTCTTCTCTTAACACAAAGGCTACGTTTAGACAGGCAGCCCAATTCTGATATTTCTTCCACTAATTGGTCTTTTGACCAATCACATCAGATCTTTTTACATCAGCTCTTTTTCAGAGCTGATCTGATTGGTCAAAAAACAATGAGTGAAAAAAAGATCAGATTTGGGCTGCCTGTCTAAACACAGCAATATGGGCCCAGAACTTAATAGAGCATCTGACCAATTACGCAAGACTTTAGTTCTGGGTTAACCGAGATTAACTCATTGATCAAGGAAATAATGCAGAAAGTAGCCTATTAATCATACATTATGTGACACATCATGGTTGGTGTTGTACTTTAATCTGATATTATACCACATAAGATAGCTATGCATTGTCAAAATGCCTTATCTTGTCTGAGACTACTCAAGAAAGTGTATAGATTCATCAGTGAAAAACGTTTGTGAAAAAAAGCAAGAGTAAAAAAACAGAAAGGGAATCCTACCATCTAGTGGTGATTATAAACAGCTGTACAGGAGAGCAACTGAATGTATGTTGGTCATAATGGGGGCAATAGAGTTCACACAGCACTGTCTCCTTATATGGCTGGTTTAATGACATGCTATGGGTGAATGACAATACAGTCTTGGTCAAAAGTTTTGAGAATGACACAAATACTAATTTTCACAAAGTCTGCTGCCTCAGTTTTGATGATGGCAATTTGCATATACTCCAGAATGTCATGAAGAGTGATCAGATGAATTGCAATTAATTGCAAAATCCCTCTTTGCCATGAAAATGAACTTAATCCCCAAAAAACATTTCCACTGCATTTCAGCCCTGCCACAAAAGGACCAGCTGCCATCATGTCAGTGATTCTCTCGTTAACACAGGTGAGAGTGTTGACGAGGACAAGGCTGGAGATCACTCTGTCATGCTGATTGAGTTAGAATAACAGACTGGAAGCTTTAAAAGGAAGGTGGTGCTTGAAATCATTGTTCTTCCTCTGTTAACGAGGGCACTACGTTCATCCACCTCTGGCCTGCAAGCTCCCCTACCTCTACGGAAGCACAGTTCCCGCTCAGCCCAGTCAAAGCTATTCGTTGCTCTGGCACCCCAATGGTGGAACAAGCTCCCCCACGACGACAGGACAGCAGAGTCACTGACCACCTTCCGGAGACACTTGAAACCCTACCTCTTTAAGGAATATCTGGAATAGTATAAAGTAATCCTTCTACCCCCCCCACCCCCCCACCCCCCCATAACAAAAAAAAACAAAATAAAAAGTGGTTGTCCCACTGGCTATCATGAGTTGAATGCACCAATTTGTAAGTCGCTCTGGATAAGAGCGTCTGCTAAATGATGTAAATGTTAACCATGGTTACCTGCAAGGAAACACGTGCCGTCATCATTGCTTTGCACAAAAAGGGCTTCACAGGCAAGGATATTGCTGCTAGTAAGATTGCACCTAAATCAACCATTTATCGGCTCATCAAGAACTTCAAGGAGAGAGGTTCAATTGTTGTGAAGAAGGCGTCAGGGCGCCCAAGAAAGTCCAGCAAGCGCCAGGACCGTCTCCTAAAGTTGATTCAGCTGCGGGATCGGGGCACCACCAGTGCAGAGCTTGCTCAGGAATGGCAGCAGGCAGGTGTGAGTGCATCTGCACGCACAGTGAGGCGAAGACTTTTGGAGGATGGCCTGGTGTCAAGAAGGGCAGCAAAGAAGCCACTTCTCTCCAGGAAAAACAACAGGGACAGACTTATATTCTGCAAAAGGTACAGGGATTGGACTGCTGAGGACTGGGGTAAAGTCATTTTCTCTGATGAATCCCCTTTGCGATTGTTTGGGGCATCCGGAAAACACCTTGTCCGGAGAAGACAAAGTGAACGCTACCATCAGTCCTGTGTCATGCCAACAGTAAAGCATCCTGAGACCATTCATGTGTGGGGTTGCTTCTCAGCCAAGGGAGTGGGCTCACTCACAATTTTGCCTAAGAACACAGCCATGAATAAAGAATGGTACCAACACATCATCCGAGAGCAACTTCTCCCAACCATCCAAGAACAGTTTGGTGACGACCAATGCCTTTTCCAGCATGATGGAGCACCTTGCTATAAGGCAAAAGTGATAACTAAGTGGCTCGGGGAAAAAAACATCAATATTTTGGGTCCATGGCCAGGAAACTCCCCAGACCTGAGTCACTGGCTTGCTGGTGCTCTTTCATGCCGTCCCTGGGAGGGGTGCGTCACTTGAGTGGGTTGAGTTACTGACGTGATCTTCCTGTCTGGGTTGGCGCCCCCCCCTTGGTTTGTGCTGTGGTGGAGACCTCTGTGGGCTATACTCGGCCTTGTCTCAGGATTGTAAGTTGGTGGTTGGGGATATCCCTCTAGTGGTGCGGGGGCTGTGCTTTGGCGGAGTGGGTGGGGTTATATCCTTCCTGTTTGGCCCTGTCCGGGGGTTTCTTCGGATGGGGCCACAGTGTCTCCGGACCGCTCCTGTCTCAGCCTCCAGTATTTATGCTGCAGTAGTTTATGTGTCGGGGGGCTGGGGTTAGTTGGTTATACCTGGAGTACTTCTCCTGTCTTATCCAGTGTCCTGTGTGAATTTAAGTATGCTCTCTCTAATTCTCTCGTTCTCTCTTTCTCTCTGAGAACCTGAGCCCTAGGACCATACGTCAGGACTACCGGGCATGATGACACCTTGCTGTCCCCAGTCCGCCTGGCCTTGCTGCTATTCCAGTTTCAACTGTTCTGCCTGCGGCTACGAAACCCCTACCTGTCCCAGACCTGCTGTTTTCAACTCTTAATGATCGGCTATGAAAAGCCAACTGAGAGACCTGAGCCCTAGGACCATACGTCGGGACTACCGGCCGTGGTGACTCCTTGCTGTCCCCAGTCCGCCTGGCCTTGCTGCTATTCCAGTTTAAACTGTTCTGCCTGCGGTTATGGAACCCCTACCTGTCCCAGACCTGCTGTTTTCAAACTCTTAATGATCGGCTATGAAAAGCCAACTGAGATTTATTCCTGATTATTATTTGACCATGCTTGTCACTTATGAACATTTTTGAACATCTTGGCATGGTTCTGTTATAATCTCCACCCGGCACAGCCAGAAGAGGACTGGCCACCCCTCATAGCCTGGTTCCTCTCTAGGTTTCTTCCTAGGTTTTCGCCTTTCTAGGGAGTTTTTCCTAGCCACCGTGCTTCTACACCTGCATTACTAGCTGTTTGGGGTTTTAGGCTGGGTTTCTGTACAGCACTTCGAGATATTAGCTGATGTAAGAAGGGCTATATAAAATAAAATTGATTGATTGATTGACCTTAATCCCATTGAGAACTTGTGGTCGATCCTCAAGAGGCGGGTGGACAAACAAAAACCCACAAATTCTGACAAACTCCAAGCATTGATTATGCAAGAATGGGCTGCCATCAGTCAGGATGTGGCCCAGAAGTTAAATGACAGCATGCAAGGGCAGATTGCAGAGGTCTTGAAAAAGAAGGGTCAACACTGCAAATATTGACTCTTTGCATAAACTTAATGTAATTGTCGATAAAAGCCTTTGACACTTATGGAATGCTTGTAATTATACTTCAGTACAAAAATATCTCATAACACTGAAGCAGCGAACTTTGTGAAGACCAATACTTGTGTCATTCTCAAAACGTTTGACCACGACTGTAGGCTTGTTCGACATAGCAGCCGACAGCCAACTGACTGATCTACAAATAACCTTGCATCACAAATAACTACTCATTATTATTTGTAGATCACGCATGACACATTACGGTTTTGATGCTCCGGAACACCGCCATACAGTAGTAGTATGACACTCCTCCCTGCTCTATTGCTACGTTCACGGCAACTCGGAACTACAACTCAAAGAGCAAGAACTGACACAATTGATTTATTTGGGAGGTACTTGTTCTAATTGAGTTGAAACATGATTACCTGACTTGGAAACTCGTGGTAGATGCCGGAAACTCGGGACCTCCGAGTTTAAATGAACTTAAGTTATTTGCATAGAGCTTCCTATTGGTTGATTCTGACACTTCCCAGGTGAGGAACTCAGGTATCATTTTTCTACGAGTAAGCAAGTCGGAAATGTCTGAGTTTCCGAAAGACGCGAACGCGGCAGAAAGATGAGCTCAGAGTTTCCCACTTGGAAAGAATCAGTGTCAACAAATAGGAAGCTCAACGCAAATGTTTAACTCGGAGGTTCCGAGTTTCCGAGATGTTTTCAAAGCACAGTAAATCCTGGCCCATGTTCAGTTGCCAAATGTTTCCGAACATTGCAGATAGAAATGCCATGAAAAGAGCCGATGTGATTCCTATTCTATATGTCAGAGAGGCATGTTTATTCTACATATCCTATTTCTATCTGAACGTTCCAAAACGTTGAGTCCTGCTGAATGCGACCCAGCTCTAGCAATGTTGTTTCGTCATACCATACCATCAATACACACACGAACACACAAACAAAGGGAGAGAGAGGGGGGAAATGGAGGGAGGAGAAGACAAGGAGAGACTATAAAACATATTGGTTTTTTAAAGAAGAAGCTTGCTTAATGGTACATCCCACATCAGGTTACAATTATCAACCATATGGTACCTCCCACATCAGGCTACAATTATCAAACATCAGATGAATTCATCGCCCATAGCTTCTTTCAAAACAGGCTTACATCATTTCGGGGAAACAAAGCCACAAAGGAATAGTCATTACAAATATAGCTTGTATTTTAGCAACCTTATTCTTTAAAATATTGAAAGTCAGCTTTATGATTAGGCTATTTAAAATCCATTCCGTTCGCATCATTGGCTATGTGAAAAACAAGGTAAGTGAACAGCTTCACTATTGTATGCAAACCAGGGTTGTTTACATTTCTCCAGCATTTAGCCTAAATATGTCGGGCAACCAGTTTTACGCGTTTTCCCAAATTCAGGTAGGTCCCTCCACGTTTCGTTCCGTTTGCTTTCGTTTAAGAAACGTTTTGCAACAGAATAGTTTTAATGAATAGGCTTGTAGACGACCTGCGTTACGATGTGCGTTTCAATGTGGAGTAATTTTGCGTAAATATGTCGGTCAACCAGTTTTAAGCGTTTTTCCCAATTCAGTTTCTCAGCCAAGGTGTAGCGTAGCCGGTAACAGTTGTCCTTAAAACGACCAACGCCTCTTGTACACAGGCTGGGTTTCGACATCACGGGGGATATTTATATCTCGGGAAATGGTGCTCCCCTTGAAATGCACTTGTCGTTATCGCGCTTCGGTATCACACAATGACGGCAAGGTTAGTATAGGGCGTCATTGCCAGTGCAATGGTTGTGCCAGATCTACTGAGCAGGCGTCAGTGTCGCCAATTACTCAAACATTTTGTATCTGTACGCGGTGGAATATAGAATTTCTTAGAAACTAGGTCGGTGACTTGAGTGTAAGTACAGTATGCTTCTGTCAATAATGTACAATTTGCTTGCCTTGTATCAAAATTGTCTGCCTATCACACTTCAATGGTGCTACTCTCTTATGCTGCCAAAACAGTATCTACCATCATAACCTACTACTACAGTATACTGTAGTCAATGTTTACTGTAGAGATCTTGTTTTATTGTACAGTAGTTATTCATGCTTTAGTTAGAAAAAGTAGGTTGTGAATACTTGATCTTAAAACAGATCAGCTGTTCAGATTTCCTGTCTGGCAACATTTTTCATTTTAGTCATTTAGCAGACGCTCTTATCCAGAGCGATTTACAGGAGCAATTAGGGTTAAGTGCCTTGCTCAAGGGCACATCGACATATTTTTCACCTAGTCGGCTCGGGGATTAGAACCAGCGACCTTTCGGTTACCTTCACTACGCTCTTAACCACTAAGCGACCTGCCACCCGCAACAATTTAGGGTATTTCACAATATGATATAACGTTCGTTTCTCACAGTTATTGGCTATTTCAGACAGGGTCACTTGTGATCAACAACTACCTGACCAGACACTTGAGGAAAGCTTGGAGCTCCCCCCAGGTTTGGGTTTGGGCTGTGGGGACATGTATGGGGATAAACGTGTGCCTCAGTATTTAGTTACAAACCGTCAGTGATTTTGACACAGAGCCAGACGAGGGTTGTCACTAGTTACCACAGCCACAAAGTCAAAATTGTCTCTAGCGTAAAAATTCATGAAAACAAACATTTGCTTTTTGGTCTTCATTTAAGGTTAGGGTTAGGCATAAGGTTAATAGTGTGGTTAGGTTTAAAATCTGATTTTAAGAAGAGACATTGTAGAAATAGGCGGGGTTTAGCCAGATGTATTACTTTATGACTGTGGTAACTAGTGACGACACAGACGGGATCAACGAGTTGTGTTTACTTTCCAGAACTAGCCAATGATTGGTTGCACCACACATGTTAGCTGAAGGTGAGGTTCGTTTCATTCAACCGTTTTCTCAAGGGCACTAGGAGGAATGTTTCACCATTTTGGCGAAGAAACAACACAGTACTTCGAATCGGACATGTTATTCTTAGTAGGGCAGGGATCAGCTTATTTTTGGGAGCAGAATTGATGAGAGTTGTTCTATGAAGAAGAACTAGAACTGCAACATTTCAAGTAACATTGAAGAACGCCGTTTGCCATACAGTTTCGCTTCCTCCTAAAATGCCTTGCAAAATAAATCCTTGCATGAAATATGGGGGGGGCGTAGTAGTAGTACATGCACTTTGGCTGACCCATGACAACGTGATAGCTCCTGTGGCGCAGTGGTCTAAGGCACTGCATCGCAGCGCTAACTGTGCCACTAGATCCCTGGTTCGAATCCAGTCTCTGTCGCAGCCGGCCGCGACCGGGAGACCCATGGGGCGGCGCATAATTGGCCCAGCGTCGTCCAGGGTAGGGGAGGGAATGGCCGGCAGGGATGTAGCTCAGTTGATAGAGCATGGCGTTTGCAATGCCAGGGTTGTGGGTTCGTTTCCCACGGGGGGCCAGTATAAAAAAAAAAAATGTATTCACTAACTGTAAGTCGCTCTGGATAAGAGCGTCTGCTAAATGACTAAAATGTAAATGTAAAAAATGTGATAATAAAACTAAATCAACAAATATTCCCAACTGTTGCAAGGCAGCCGGTGGTAAATACATGGGTCCGCCGGGGGTAAATACATGGGTCCTGGCCTGAGGTCAGATACTACAGAAGTAGGTGTTGACATAGTTGGGTATACAGTATCTACAGTTGGTGATACCATGTCTGTACTGTACAGTACACTAAAAAAGACACCATAAATGCTTTAACGTGCAGCACTGTTCTAAGCATGCCAATTGTTACAGCACATCTGTCCTTTGACCCACAAAGGTGTTTTATTTATACATTGTAAATCAAGTCAAGTTCAGTTTACAGTCTGTTGCTGTGGGCTCTAGTGGTTAACTACTTTATAGCCAAAACGGTGTCAATCATACACTGGTATTGTAGATTTCAAGTCAGGATTCGTCCCTTTGTGCTCACTGCTCACAGGCCTACAGGTACAGTAGCAGAATATCTGTCAAACTCCTATTGACATGATTCAGTGCATGATGTAGGTAAAAGTCTGACTTACTCTACTGTACGGGTGTATATCTCACGTTCCTATTTGCATCTCTACTATGAACTTATACTCCCCTGTGTGTTTTTCTCTCTCTCAGTAACGAGTGGTAATGGCGAGCTTCTCTCCGCTGGTCCTGTCCATCGCTGCCACCAGCTTTGTGACATTCCAGTGTCTGTTCCATTTTGTCAGTCCCTGGATCTCTGCTCAGTTCTGCCCTGGGTACCGCCGTCTCAGCCCCAGACACACCGTAGAATGGAACTCCAGGTACAGCATCAGGAGACTGAGAAGTGATATTTTGGTATTATTCAATCATGTCATTCAAAGCTCCTATCAGAATACATATTGGATTATAATTTTCCCAGTTAAAGTACTTTTCTGAGCGTAGACCCTTTCAAATATCGTTGTGTAGCATTTTTCCATGGCATGGAATCCCACAGCTACCACCAAATGTCAAGTTTAAGTTAGTATGCTTTTATGAGTATGTGTATCTGTATTTCTGTGATATTTTTTCTAGAACTGTGTCTACATTTCACGCCTTGATAGTGGGGCTTTTTTGTCTCTACATATTACTATTTGACAATGCCGTCAATGAAGACCCAGTCTGGTAAGAATCTCCGTCACTGCTAAGTGTGCAATTCTTGATATTCTTGATATAATCTTATATTTGGAATATTTCCCTATATTTTCCACATGTGCTTTGTGCCTTCTTACCAATAGGGGAGATCCGTCACTGGTGAAAATAAATGTGGCCATAACCTGTGGCTACCTCATATCAGGTGGGTCTCCACTTCAAACATATTTAACCCCTGTATTACTTTGTATATTTCCATGGATTATCTTGACCCATACAGTGAGCTATCTCCCTTGTCTGTCTTGCAGATATGCTGCTCATATGTTACTATTGGCTGGCGATAGGGGACAAGTTTTTTGTAATCCACCACCTGGCAGCACTGTATGCTTACTACTATGTACTGGTGAGTTCCCTACTGACCCAGAGCAGAATGTGCAGGCAAGCTGGGGAAGGGACAAGGGCCAAGGGTGAACATCCATGTAGTTTGATGGGGTGGGTTAGAATGGATAACAAAGTGCTAATCAGGGACGAAATAGTTTGGTTCCAATTTACATTCAGTATCCCCAATATGTGTAGGCCTATATTTGGAACACTTTGATATATAGTGTTGTGAGACACTTTGATTTACAGTGTTGTTATTGACCTATAAATACAGTGCTATAAGTGTTATTACTCAGTTGTTTTGCTGTACTTACTAGGGTTATTACACAGTAATAGAACACTGTAAACCAGGGTTAGGCAAGTAGATTCAGCCGTGGGCCGATTTTTGTTGGAGAAAATGGTTGACAAACTTTGTACACTGCAAATTGACCACAACTAAGCCCACAAAGAGATTGTATTTAAAAAATAACAATAATTTCATACCTTGATTACATTCAGTCTCTTTTTTTATTTTTGGGAATACTTGAACAGATTTCCTAAAATAAACACATTTTTAGCTGAATTCCTGGATATTTTGCGGTCTTTTTGACCAAAAACGATTAACATGTCTCCAGGAAACCGGACTGTAGAGTTTCTGTGCATAATGTATTCTCTTACTTCTCTCAATCTGTAATGATGGTGATTGGTGCATGCTGCCTTTTTGCTTGTTTCGACCTTTTGACCCTAGACCCTATACACCAATACAAAGACAGGGTCCTCCTCTCATTTCATTTTTCCAAATCACCACTGACTTTTCTTAGTAAAATGTACTGGATAATTTCCAGTCCTTTTTGGGGGTAATGTTAGAATGGATTATAGAGTAAGGTTTTGAAATGGATATTGAGACATTAACAGCATCCACATAGTTAGTCCATATCTTTTTTTTTTTCTCTAGAATGTTTTTTCTCTTCTTCAATGTTGGGATGGGGGCTTTTAATGGTGCCAGATCTCACTAGTTGCACTTTTCTTCTGTTTAGGTATTTATTTCCATGTCTCTCCTCCACTTACATGTGTGATCAATTAACCCAGTCTTGTGTCTCTAATCTGCTAACAATACAGTACATGAAAAAAGGTCCTAAAAAAGAACAGGCCTGGGTCAATTGGCTATAGAAGGGGTCCCTTCCTATCTTGTCTAGTGGATTCTGTTGTGGTACATAGAGCACATGTTGCCTAATAACAGTATGGACTTACCAGTACATAGAGGTACAAGCATGCACTGCTGGATTGTCACCACCAATTTTTGAACACATTTTGAACATTTCTATGTGACCCAACTTGATTAACCGTGTCAGAACCCCAGTAAGTACACCTAGATTTTAAATTTTTTATGGATCGTACGGTAGGTTTACGATCATGATGTATCATGAATTCGCATATTATTGAAGGTACTTCTCTTGCCATTATTTTCTTTGCACTTTGTTCTGTCTCTTTCTCTTTTAGAGCATAGGAATGTTGCCGTATTTTGCTAACTTCCGTCTGGTCGCAGAGCTTTCCACTCCTTGTGTGAACCAGCGGTAGGTAACCTCTGTGTCAAATAGACCCACGCACACACAAACATAATTTTTACTGGGAAGTAGAGGGAACCTCGTAAAATAACAATTTATTTGCCCTTACAGTATATGAATAGTGGCTTTTGTCGTTGGTAGTAGTGCATTCAACCGTTTCAGAAACACTATTGACCGTTAATGTTTAACTACTTATAGTGAGTCAGACCAGTTACACCCAGCTGAAAGCTTGAACAGTGTCTGAACTACATCATTAGAGACACATGTTTCATACTTAATAATACATTTTGAGTCACATACATTTCCAATTGTATACTATTATCCTGATTTAATCCAACAAAGACAAAATACAGATTCACTGTTAAACATTTACATTTATATTTTAGTCATTTAGCAGACGCTCTTATCCAGAGTGACTTACAGTTAGTGCATTCATCTTAATATAGCTGGGTGGGACAACCACATATCTCAGTCATAGCTACTTTGAGTAAAAATATACTTACTATCAGCAAAGTCAGTGCTAGTAGAAAAAGAGTCAAGTGTGAGTGTTAGTTTAACAGGTATGATTTCAGATGTTTTCGGAAGATGGGCAGGGACTCTGCTGTCCTAGCGTCAGGGGGAAGCTCGTTCCACCATTGGGGTGCCAGGACAGAGAAGAGCTTTGACTGGGCTGAGCGGGAGCGGCCCTCCCATAGGGGTGGGAGAGCCAAGAGGCCAGAGGTGGCAGAACAGAGTGCTCGGGTTAGGGTGTAGGGTTTGAACATAGCCTGAAGGTAGGGAGGTGCAGTTCCCTGAGGAATTGTACTTAAAACCTTTAAGTGCTGGGTATACTGTAGATATGTGTAAAGTGAGTCATCTTACTGGAACAATGCCAGTTGATATCCATGACTCCATTACAATTGAGTCCAACTTCAACTGCCATCTCACTCTGTCACCATAACTGTACTAACTGTGTCTATCTTTCAGCTGGTTCTTTGAAGTGCTTGGTTACCCAAAGAAATCATTACCAAATATGGTCAACGGAATTGCCATGACGGCATCCTTCTTCCTGGTGAGGATAGCGGTCATGCCGATGTACTACACCCGGATGTACGCTGTGTACGGGACGGAACCCTTCTACCGGGTGACTTTTGGTGGCCGTTGTGCCTGGATGGGCCCCAGTTTCTGTCTAGACATTATGAACGTCATGTGGATGCATAAAATGGCCCGTGGCTGCATTAGTGTCCTGCGCTCTCCCGGAAAGGTAAAAGTGGAAAAGCTACAGAATGGGAAAGTGCACTGAGGGGTTGAAAAAGGCAATGGTGGAGTTATTTTATTCTATGTCTGGTTCAAATGGTTCATGGACATTTTTGGATCAAATGGTTCATGGACTGGAAATGTCTTGAGAGTCCCTAGTATCCCGTGACCAGGTAAATTGTGTACCACTACACTTATTTGCCCAGAACACTGCCAATTAAACAAGCGCTACAGTCCTCCACCATGATGGGAGGGGACATGGTAAAAGCCATTGGACTGCGTCTCCTCTTGGTCCTTAGAAATGGAGGAAGTGGATGGAAACAAACAGACAATACTCTAAAGCACAGCTCCTCTTGTCTGCTGGACCCTTTGTTTGTAAATTGTATATGTCCACCTAAAGGTGTCTTGTGTGTATTGCCACAATAACATGAACTGACATGGAAGAGAATGTAAAAGGAGCTCACATAGTTTTGTAATGTTTATAAAGCCATAAAGATGGCTCTTGTACAAATATCATGAGATATTGTATGAAAATTTAATCCTTACTTGAAATCTGTGTTTTCACCAGCATTAGGGTGTAAAATGCATATATTGTCAGACTACTGAAGTCTCTCTGCTCAGGAGCCTGCTCATGCAGTAGGCCTAGGAAATATTAGTCATGCACATAAAGTATCAGGGTAGATTTAGACAAACCACAGCAAACAAATGCCAGAATGTATTGTCATTTTATCTCTAGAAGTGACCTTACTGAGTGTGATTTATGATAACAGCAATAAAAGTGCACTTATGTCTAACTGACACACCCACACTATAACTTCACACAAGCATCTTTGCACGGTTTACAAATTACAGATAAAACTTCAGAAGTCTCAAGCTTCATAATGTAATGTGAAAAATGTCATTAAAGGGATACTGCAAGATTCTGGCATTTAATCCCTTTTTCTGGTTACCCAGAGTCCGATGAACTTGTATGTCTGTATGAAGTTAGAATAGCAATGCTACTGTACCTTAAGACTTCCAGTCATTGTGCTAACGCCAGTTAGTATTGGCTCGCTAAACTACCGCTATTCCATCATACTGCGTGCAGAGACATAAAAATGGTATCCACAAATTAATCTGACTCCGGGTAAATAGAACATGGCCTTAAATGCCAGAATCTCGCATTATGCCTTTAAGGTTTCCCTGTTGGATCTCTGGGTGAGAATATGCAAGCTATTTATTGTGACATTTACAGCCATGATAGCTTTAATATTTCATTTAAAAAAATGTATTTCAATAATGTACTCTTCTTTGAGTAAGTTGAAGTAAGTGATTTATTAACCTAATTTTCATACATGCTTTGATTATCTTCAGACTGTTGTCAGCAGACAACATGACAACACTTGTCTGCTACTGCCGTCTTGTGGAGACAATGCGGGACTGCAAACATCCCCTCAAAAGGAGGATACAGTGGTCAATGAGCATTGAGAAATATTCATAAAAAAATGATTAATGTTAAAACCTTGGTTTGGCATCATTTGGTCATCACATTGTTTTCTTAAAGTCCCATACCTTTGGCTACTTTGCCCACCATTATTACCTCTGGCTCTTAAAGTATAGATAAAAACGTACAACTATGGATGTAAAAACGTACAATTATGCTTGTAATTAAAAACGATTGAATTAAATGGGATAAAGGTGAGTTGAGAGTGATTGATCTACAAATAACCTGTATCCTAAATGACTACTCAATATTATTTCTAGATCATTCAAGTCTGGCATAATATACCAATGATACATAACGGTTTTGATGCTCTCGAACAGTTTTGACAAAGACGGTACAGTATGAAGATAGGCAGAAACTGCTTCTCCAATAGAAATTCCCGATCACACTTGTAGGTGATCTCATCATGGCGACGTTGGTTCGCTAAACTCGGGCGAAGAAACACATCATCGGGTTTGCTAAATTTGCATAATTGCCCATGTGCATGTCATTGTGATGGAAGCTGTAGGAGAAATAACGTCGTGGGAGAGACAAAAAGTGAGTAAAAAACATACTACATTTACATCCCGCCCTGAATGTAAGCCAGGGCGGGATTCATTTGCAGTCTGGACGTGGAGTGGTGAACATCTCCTGCTCTGACTGCAGCTGGGAGGGACTGCTGCGCAGGACTGGGCCGCCTGTGAGTGCTTTGGGACGGGGGTGAGTGCTTTGGGACCGGGGTGAGTGCTTTGGACGGGGGTGGGGGGTGAGTGCTTTGGACGGGGGTGGGGGGTGAGTGCTTTGGACGGGGGTGGGGGGTGAGTGCTTTGGACGGGGGTGGGGGGTGAGTGCTTTGGACGGGGGTGGGGGGTGAGTGCTTTGGACGGGGGTGGGGGGTGAGAGCTTTGGACGGTGGTGGGGGGTGAGAGCTTTGGACGGTGGTGGGGGGTGAGTGCTTTGGGACGGTGGTGGGGGGTGAGTGCTTTGGGACGGGGGTGGGGGGTGAGTGCTTTGGGACGGGGGTGGGCGGCAGCACCCCCCGCTGCTCGCTGAGAGTAAGAAGGATATGTGCTTTCACGTCAGAGTCTCCAAAAGTCTCCAATAACACCAGAAAAAGTCGCTAGATTTGTCACTAGTCGCTTTTTTGAAAATGTGTCGCTAGAGGGGTCTGAAAACTCGCTAAATATAGTGACAAAGCCGCTAAGTTGGCAACACTGGCCCGGAAGTTGGTTTAAAAACTATTTGGTTTTGATGCTCTCGAACACGAGCATCAAAACCGTGATGTATCATGGGTAAATTGTGACAGACTGACTGGGTCCCTCCTCTCTGACCTCTTCCAGTGGGTTTTGAGGAGAGAGTCAAGAACCGTTCTTTGTGCTTTATACCCATAGAGATAGATACAGGACTCATCTTTATATGTAGCGTATGTGACAGCATGGGAATGGGAAGCGCCATTGAGGCTACAACCCATAGGAATCCCGGTCTCTATCATTCTCTGTTATACCTCAGTGGAGAGGACGCGAAGTGTATGCAATTGAGATTCTCCCAAAGTAACCAATCATGTAACCAGAACATTCCAGCAATGCATTGTGGGTGTAGTGTTTGCCAACTTTCACGTCATTGCAGCATAGACGCACTGCTTTCATCAAGGTAACTAGTTTATATTTACTAGGTTAATCCATAGTAAAATCGTTTGTTTTACTTTATATGTTTCAAGAAATAGGCGACGAGTTCAGTCATAATATGAGTCTGTCATTTCTAAACTAATGTCAAACCAGCATATGTGCTCATGGGATGGGAGACCTACCGCTACAGTATCCGGCAGCTGATGTGGTCCAGAGTGCATGCAAGGTCGTAAGAATTACATAATCGCTGCTGTAGCAATGCTAATTTCAACAGTTACTGTAATATCCCATTTAGGACAACTGTCATGTGTTACAGACATGGAAATAACAAGCTAGGGGTGCTGTTGTTTCACTCTTTGACCGTTAGCTATATGACTGGTTATTTAATAGGCTAGATGTGAGATGAGCTAGCTATGAGGCATAGCAAGAATTCATGAACCTTTACACATTTATTATTTCTTAACGCTAATATCTGTTACATCGCTGACAGGTCTGGGGTGTAGTCCTATCCAGTGACTAACTTGTCAGGCAGAATGGACCCCATGTCCGGTTCAACAGTTAAAGCAGAGGGTTTTGTGGTCCCTCACCTATATGCTGGCTCTCCACCCCAGGGATGCCCCATGCAAAAGGAGACCAAACTAAGTAAGTCTCTTCAGCTGTGTCAGGTTGATACGGTTGGTGTTTGCGTTTGTCTATTGGTTCTCTGTTGTCTGCAGTGTATACCCCTAACCCCATCAGCTGGCACACCTTGAATAACAATAGCAAAGCAGATATTGTTTTTCATTGTACTAATGTATTTCGACCTGTCCTCTCAGGTGCACCTGTACCACAATCAGAGTGTCCCATGCACAAGGCGTCCGTCCCAGCCCAGGTTGAGACCACTTCCCCCCCAGTAGCCCCAGCTTCAGACCAGGCAGGGTCAACACATCAGGATCGGGCATACGAGTTTGTGGAGTGCCCCATGAAAGCAGCCAACAGAGAGAAATTTGTGTCTGACATTGATATTGCAAACATGGTACGAAAAGCAGCTAAAATACTTGTGTATTATTCTTACTACTGTGTAATTACACAGTGATAAGAACACTAAAGTGTTAGAGTTTTTTAATAAACTGATGTACTGAATGTTATTTAGTGTACCTATCTTTTTTCATAACCCAGGAACTGGTTGACTAATAGGCTAAAATCAAATGAAAACCAGTCAATTAGGAGATAGATGCCAATAGAGCATATATCGATGAGACTTAAAACTCTGAAGGCATCCAGTTTTGTTCTGTTATTTCTCTTTATCCAGATGCCGCCACCCAACCAGCAGCCCGCCCCAGGTCAGCCCTTTGATCTGTCAGTGAACAGAGAGGAGTCCCAGATCCCCCGGGGTGGTACGGAACAGAACTGGGTCTACCCCTCGGAACAGATGTTCTGGAATGCCATGCTGAGGAAAGGGTCAGTCGACCAATCAGAACACTGAAGAAAGATGGCTTGGGCATAGAGATAGAATGTATAGAATTGATAGAACCTATAGTTTTATCTCTATGGGGTTTAGGGTTTCTACTGCTGTGTACTGACTCATTAAAATTGTTTCACAGATGGCACTGGAAAGATGAAGATCTTGGGCAAAAAGACATGACGAACATCATCAAGATTCACAACCAGAACAATGAACAGGCATGGCAGGAGATCCTCAAATGGGAACAATTCCATAAGAAGTGAGTAAACTCAGTGAACAATCAACATCTCAGACTCTGGTACAAAACCATGTAAGGTTGAGCGCTTTTTACTGACGTTTCAAATTACCCCTGAATGACAAGTGCATGTCACGATATGTATGCCATACCAGATATGTGAATTGTATTTGATTTCTTTCTTTCTAGGGAATGTCCCTGCGGACCCTCCCTGTTACGGTTTGGAGGCAAAGCAAAAGAATTCACTCCTAGAGCCAGGTTTCGCCACTGGATGGGGTGAGTTTTTGGTGTAAACAGTTGTGAGTGGAAGTTACATACATGCAAAAATATATACATTTCCTTGACACAGACCTAGCACAAGCAAGTACAACTAGCACTCTTTGTCTGGTTGTTTCAATGTATAATACATTAGATCATATGACCTCATTTTGTCTTCTACTCTTTGCAGGTATGGCTTACCGTTTGACAGGCACGACTGGATCGTAGACCGCTGTGGAAAGGAGGTGCGCTATGTGATTGACTACTACGACGGCGGTGAGATCGATAAGCAGAATTTCACCATCCTGGACGTGCGTCCTGCCTTCGACTCCCTCAGCGCCGTGTGGGACCGTATGAGAGTGGCCTGGTGGCGCTGGACCTCCTCTTAAACCCCAACACTCCCCACACTAATAGCCTGATCCCAGATCTGTATGTTGTCATGCCATTCAATGATAGTCAGAGGAGTTGGCTAAATCACATACAGATCTGGGACCAGGCTATCCACTACCACTTTAGATTCACAGGGTTGAATACAGTCGCTATGTTCTCCTTCATTGATTTGAGGGAGTACTAATGTATTTATTGACCAGACTCTGGCACTCTGCTAATAACTAAACTTTTAATTGACAGATTGTCTTCATTGCTTGAAGTGAACTGTTTTGATTGACTTTGAGTCCACACACGCAATCACCATGTATATTGACTTACTGTAATAATTGTTTGTTTGGGAGGACATACTAATTGGTGGCTTTTCTTTAGTGAATCAATTATCCTAAGTTGATAAGATGGAACTGTGTGTTATTTGTATCCAGTATTATGGTGTTGTTTTAAGTTAAAGGGAGGGATTCTGTACTTGTGGGCTTCTAACATGTATTTAAAGTGTCTCAATGACTAAACGCAACAACTCCCAGGTCAATGGAAGCAACCATTTGGAATGGACTCAATGAAGACAAATTGATAATCCATTTGTCGCAGATAAAACAGGTTCATGGGTACCCTTTGACTTGAGTTTCAATGCAACACACAGTTGAATGTTTTCTTTCTTCACTGTCATCATTTAGTTAAATCCAGAGGAAATAATTTGTTTTATTTAGTATAGTATAAGCTTCTGTCTTAAGCATCCTAAATAATACCATAGATTCCACTTTTGAAAAATAGTAAACTTGGCCAAAAGGCAAGCATGATATTCCAACTGATTATAGGCTACTAAAGCCAACGACTGAAAATGTGAACCAGGCTTTACCGCTGCGCCACGGAGTTCAGATGAAAACAGGAGAGAATAAAACGTATATCTGGGCCCCGTGTAGCTCAGTTGGTAGAGCATGGCGTTTGCAACGCCAGGGTTGTGGGTTCGATTCCCACGGGGGGCCAGTATGAAAAATGTATGCACTCACTAACTGTAAGTCGCTCTGGATAAGAGCGTCTGCTAAATGACTAAAATGTAAATGGGAACGATCACACACTATTTATTGCTGACCAACAGATGTCACTAATGTGCATTGTGAACAGATATTGACGCTCTGAGTAATGAACAGTTTTTCGGCACAATTGAGAAGGGTGCAACTGCAGCCCGCAATTCGGGGCGTTCCTGTATGTGGCCATTCCTGCATCTGCAGGAACCCCTCTTTATACTTGTATTGGTCAATTTTTAAGCCATGACTCCAGGACATAGGTGGGAGGCAGGGGCGCTCTAGTACAGTAGATGGCGGTAATGCACTGTAACGTCGATGCCAACCGCCGGTAAACACCACAGAAGAAGAAGAGGCGGGGCGCAACAACGGTAGAGTGTCTTTTGCCTCTGCCTGTCGGGCACTGTTTTCCCGCAGTACTGTTAACAATGATGTTGCTAGCTAGCAAAGAGGACTATTGTCACAATTTTGTGAAAGCGCCTTCAGAAAGCCTCGGTTTTCCATCACTACAAGCTACTGCAAAATGTACACCATTACAAAAGTATGTGGACACCCCTTCAAATGAGTGGATTAAACTATTTCAGCCACACCCGTTGCTGACAGATGTATAAAATCGAGCGCACAGCCATGCAATCTCCATAGACAAACATTGGCAGTAGAATGGCCTACATGTAGTTCACTACTCCCCAACGCTGCAAGTAAATAAGCTTTTTTGACTGAGTTTTTGGTCTGGATGTGGGCGGAACTAAAAATAGGGACTTGAAGCACATCGGACATATAAACACAAAGTACACATTTCCAACATGTTAAACATTTTATGAAATGAGTGGGAGAAGCAGTGATTTCTTTTAGATATTTTGAATGACAGTTGTAGTTTGAAATGTCTGAGCTGGCATTGGATGAAATGTCAGTTTTATCAGCAATATACTGTGAAAAGGACGAATTTGAGCTACTTGAGGAATCAGGCAAGATTTTGAGCTAGCTAGCTAGCTGAGTTTCTCTACACCAGGATTTGCCAAGTACCTCAACTCCACGAGGAATGTCATCCACGGAGATGGGCGCAGATTATACTTTTCAAAATGAAACTCCGACTCCTTCGAATCGCTATGCTAGGGCTCAACAACTAGATTCAGCTGCGGGCCGATTTCTTCTTGAGCGTATGGTCAGGGGGCCGGAACATAATTACAAATAATTTGTGGACTGCAAATTGACCGCAAGAAACCCAAACAGATATAACATTTGACTGGTACGACTTGTATATAGCCAAGTTATTGTTACTAATTGTGTATTACTTTTCTATTATTTCTCAATTTTGTTTCTCTCAGTATTGTTGGAAGGGGGGGTAAGTAAACATTTCACTGTTAAGTCTACACCTGTTGTTTACGAAGTATGTGACGAATACAATTTGATTTGATTTAAAACATAAACATTTCAAAACTTGCTTACATTTGTATATGATCTCATACTCATTGGCCAGTTTATTAGGTACACCCATCTAGTACTGGGTTGGACCCTGCTTTGCCTCCAGAACAGCCTGAATTCTATGTGGCATGGAAACGTTGCTCAATTGGTATCAAGGGATCTAACATGTGCCCGGAAAACATTCCCCATACCATTACACCACCGCCACCATCCTGTACCATTGACACCAGGCAGGATGGGGCCATGGACTCATGCTGCTTACGCCAAATCCTGACTGCCATCAGCATGACGCAACAGGGACTGGGATTCGTCAGACCAGGCAATGTTTTTCCACTCCTCAATTGTCCAGTATTAGTGGTTGCGTGCCCACTGGATCCACTTCTTCTTGTTTTTAGCTGATAGGAGTGGAACCCGGTGTGCCATTTTCCTTCGGCCTCTCATCAACGAGCTGTTTTCGCCAACAGGACTGCCGCTGACTGGATGTTTTTTGTTTGTCGTTACCATTCTTGGTAAACTCTAGACACTGTCATGTCTGAAAAGGCCAGGAGGCTGGCCATTTCTGAGATACTGGAACCGGTGCACCTGGCACCGACGGTTATACTACGCTTAAAGTCAATCGTTTTGCCCATTCTAATGCTCAATCGAACAGTAACTGGATGCCTGTCTGCCTGCTTTATACAGCAAGCCACGGCCACATGACTCACTGTCTGTAGCCTCCCGAGTGGCACAGTGGTCTAAGGCACTGCATCGCAGTGCTAGCTGTGCCACTAGAGATCCTGGTTCGAATCCAGGCTCATGGGGCGGCGCACAATTGGCCCAGCGTCGTCCAGGGTAGGGGAGGGAATGGCCGGCAGGGATGTAGCTCAGTTGGTAGAGCATGGCATTTGCAACGCCAGCGTTGTGGGTTCGCTTCCCACGGCGGGCCAGTATGAAAAATAAAATAATGTATGCACTCACTAACTGTAAGTTGCTCTGGATAAGAGCATCTGCTAAATGACTAAAATGTAAATGTCTGTAGAAGCGAACCATTTTTCGTGAACTGGGTGATGTACCTAATAAACAGGCCACTGAGTGTTTATCTCTCTTATGCGTGGGAATACTTTGGAACAGATTTCCAAAATTAAAATAACTTGGAGCTGATTTGCTGGTGTTTTTAGTCATTTATGTCAAAAAAATTTTTTACAAGTATAATTTTTTTGCTCAGAAAACTTGGGGAGCCAAATAAAATGACCCCAGTTGGGGAACCCTTCATAAATGTAAATTCTTAAACCATTACCATGTACCTATGTTTGTCCTCTGTTGCATGCCTTTCTTTGTTTGCTGAAATCCATACTTTTAAATAAAACGTTAATCAAATACATCCACCGATGGCAACTCAACAAGGAAACAGTCGGTGGTTGTTTTTGATTGCGGAAATCCATATGTTTTTTATAAAACAAAGAAAGGCATGCAACAACAAAGGACAAACATAGGTACACTGTAAGGGTTTTATAATTTACATTTTGAAGTTTCAACTGCATAGCGTCTCGAAGGTGTCGGTGGTTATTTTACAAAACTAGTCTGCGCTCAACTCCATGGATGATATCATCGTGTAGTTAAGGTACTTGGCGTTGGCAACTCCATACAGTATGTACACTGTAGCTAGAGTTTTTACTTTATGTTAGCTAGCTGGCTAGCCTAGATGCTAGCTATGTATAGTTAGTAGTATTTTACATGTGGTGTGACATTTATGAGTTACTTGAACACGTGTGTAATACGTTATTGTTTTCACAGCTGAAAAGGGACTTGTATTCCGCATCCAGATGGAGGTGGAAGAAGCCACCAGTGAGAGAACTCTTCTGAGTCTCCTCTTCCAGCTGCCAACCGAGTACCCCCACTGTGTCCCAGAAATATGTGTCAGCTCTGAACAGCTCTCCAGGAAACAGTGCCAACACATCAAGCAGAGTTTACTGGAAAAGGCCTCAGCACTGGAGCCAGAGCCCATGGTTCATGAACTACTGCTGTGGCTCCAACAGAACTTCACTGAACTCACCTCAAATGAACAGTCCCAGGTGAAGGAGGTGCAAGAGGGTGGTGAGGAGGAGACGTGGATAGCTCTTTTTCTAATAGACCATATGAGGTCCAAAACTAAATATATAAAGACAATTGAAAAGTGGAGCTCGGAATTGGGGCTCACCGGAAGACTGTTCTTGGGGAAGTTGATACTGGTCCTTCTGCAAGGCGCAAGGAGGAGTATCAAGGTAGTATAGAGTTTGGATAGATTTTAGACACTAGCTGATGCAATGACGTCTCTTCAGATCAGCTACAACACCCATGATAAATAATGAATATGATGTACACGTCACAATATGGTGGATATAATGATGTCATGTACACTTCCTTCCAAACTTATTTGGATAGTGAAGCTAAAATGTTACATTTTGTTCTATACTTCAGCATTTTGGATTTGAGATTAAATGTTTCATATGAGGCGACAGTACAGAATGTCACCTTTATTTAAGGGTATTTTCTTACCATTTAGAAATGAAAGCACTTTGTGTCTAGTCCCCCCATCTGAAGTCATAAGTATTTTAACAAATTCACTTAGTATATCAAAGTAGTCATAAGTTTAGTGTTTGGTCCCATATTCCTAGCATGCAATGACTACATCAATCTTGTGACTTTCGGATTATGTTGTGCCAATAGAAGTGAATGGTAAATAATGTATTGTGTCATTTTGGAGTCACTTTTATTGTAAATAAGAATGGAATATGTTTCTGAACATTTCAACATTCATGTGGATGCTACCATGATTACGGATAATCCTGAATTAATCGTGAATAATGATGAGTGAGAAAGTTAGAGGCATACATTTCTTATTCCACCCCAAAATGCTAACCTCCCCTGTTATTGATAATGGTGAGAGGTTATCGTGTTTTAGGGGCATGATCTTTTCATCACTAACCCTAACCCATTATTCACGATTCATTCAGGATTATCTGTAATCATGGTAGCATCCACATTCATGTAGAAGTGTTCAGAAATATTATATTCTTATTTACAATAAAAGTGACTCCAAAATAACACAATACATTATTTACCATTAATTTCTATTGGGCACAACATAATCCGAAACACAACCAAAACAAACTGCAAATGCATCCAACAAGTTTGTATGCAAATGCTTCCAACAAGTTTGTAGAGTCACAAGCTTGATGTAGTCATTGCGTGCTAGGAATATGGGACCAAATACTAAACTTTTGACTAAATTGAATACTTATGACACCTTCAAATGGGGGGACTAGATACATAAAGTGCATTCATTTCTAAACGGTAAAACATACAGTGGGGAGAAGTATTTGATACACTGCAGATTTTGCAGGTTTTCCTACTTACAAAGCATGTGGAGGTCTGTCATTTTTATCATAGGTACACTTCAACTGTGAGAGACGGAATCTAAAACAAAAATCCAGAAAATCACATTGGATGATTTTTAAGTAATTAATTTGCATTTTATTGCATGACGTAAGTATTTGATACATCAGAAAAGCAGAACTTAATATTTGGTACAGAAACCTTTGTTTGCAATTACAGAGATCATACGTTTCCTGTAGGTCTTGACCAGGTTTGCACACACTGCAGCAGGGATTTTGGCCCACTCCTCCATACAGACCTTCTCCAGATCCTTCAGGTTTCGGGGCTGTCGCTGGGCAATACGGACTTTCAGCTCCCTCCAAAGGTTTTCTATTGGGTTCAGGTCTGGAGACTGGCTAGGCCACTCCAGGACCTTGAGATGCTTCTTACTGAGCCACTCCTTAGTTGCCCTGGCTGTGTGTTTCGGGTCGTTGTCATGCTGGAAGACCCAGCCACGACCCATCTTCAATGCTCTTACTGAGTGAAGGAGGTTGTTGGCCAAGATCTCGCGATACATGGCCCCATCCATCCTCCTCTCAATACGGTGCAGTCGTCCTGTCCCCTTTACAGAAAAGCATCCCCAAAGAATGATGTTTCCACCTCCATGCTTCACAGTTGGGATGGTGTTCTTGGGGTTGTACTCATCCTTCTTCTTCCTCCAAACACGGCGAGTGGAGTTTAGACCAAAAAGCTCTATTTTTGTCTCATCAGACCACATGACCTTCTCCCATTCCTCCTCTGGATCATCCAGATGGTCATTGGCAAACTTCAGATGGGCCTGGACATGCGCTGGCTTGAGCAAGGGGACCTTGCGTGCGCTTCAGGATTTTAATACATGACGGCGTAGTGTGTTACTAATGGTTTTCTTTGAGACTGTGGTCCCAGCTCTCTTCAGGTCATTGACCAGGTCCTGCCGTGTAGTTCTGGGCTGATCCCTCACCTTCCTCATGATCATTGATGCCCCACAAGGTGAGATCTTGCATGGAGCCCCAGACCGAGGGTGATTGACCGGCATCTTGAACTTCTTCCATTTTCTAATAATTGCGCCAACAGTTGTTGCCTTCTCACCAAGCTGCTTGCCTATTGTCCTGTAGCCCATCCCAGCCTTGTGCAGGTCTACAATTCTATCCCTGATGTCCTTACACAGCTCCACAATGGTCTTGGCCATTGTGGAGAGGTTGGAGTCTGTTTGATTGAGTGTGTGGACAGGTGTCTTTTATACAGGTAACGAGTTCAAACAGGTGCAGTTAATACAGGTAATGAGTGGAGAACAGGAGGGCTTCTTAAAGAAAAACTAACAGGTCTGTGGGAGCCGGAATTCTTACTGGTTGGTAGGTGATCAAATACTTATGTCATGCAATAAAATGCAAATGAATTACTTAAAAATCATACAATGTGATTTTCTGGATTTTTGTTTTAGATTCCGTTTCTCACAGTTGAAGTGTACCTCTGATAAAAAATTACAGACCTCTACATGCTTTGTAAGTAGGAAAACCTGCAAAATCAGCAGTGTATCAAATACTTGTTCTCCCCACTGTATATATGATAATACCCTAAAATAGAAGGTAACATTGTATACTGTCACCTCATATAAAACATTTGATCTTAAATTAAAAGTTTTAGCTTCACTGTCCAAATAAATAATTACGGGGAGTGTATGTATGAAAATACCCTAAAATAAAAGGTGACATTCTGTACTGACGCTTAATATAAAACATCCTATCTCAAATCTAAAATGCTGGAGTATAGAGCCAAATAAAAAATGGTAGCTTCACTGTCCAAATACATATGGAGTGGAGTGTACAGTGGGCAAAAAAAGTATTTAGTCAGCCACCAATTGTGCAAGTTCTCCCACTTAAAAAGATGAGAGAGGCCTGTAATTTTCATCATAGGTCAACGTCAACTATGACAGACAAATTGAGATTTTTTTTTCTCCAGAAAATCACATTGTAGGATTTTTAATGAATTTATTTGCAAATTATGGTGGAAAATAAGTATTTGGTCACCTACAAACAAGCAAGATTTCTGGCTCTCACAGACCTGTAACTTCTTCTTTAAGAGGCTCCTCTGTCCTCCACTCGTTACCTGTATTAATGGCACCTGTTTGAACTTGTTATCAGTATAAAAGACACCTGTCCACAACCTCAAACAGTCACACTCCAAACTCCACTATGGCCAAGACCAAAGAGCTGTCAAAGGACACCAGAAACAAAATTGTAGACCTGCACCAGGCTGGGAAGACTGAATCTGCAATAGGTAAGCAGCTTGGTTTGAAGAAATCAACTGTGGGAGCAATTATTAGGAAATGGAAGACATACAAGACCACTGATAATCTCCCTCGATCTGGGGCTCCATGCAAGATCTCACCCCGTGGGGTCAAAATGATCACAAGAACGGTGAGCAAAAATCCCAGAACCACACGGGGGGACCTAGTGAATGACCAGCAAAGAGCTGGGACCAAAGTAACAAAGCCTACCATCAGTAACACACTACGCCGCCAGGGACTCAAATCCTGCAGTGCCAGACGTGTCCCCCTGCTTAAGCCAGTACATGTCCAGGCCCGTCTGAAGTTTGCTAGAGTGCATTTGGATGATCCAGAAGAGGATTGGGAGAATGTCATATGGTCAGATGAAACCAAAATAGAACTTTTTGGTAAAAACTCAACTCGTCGTGTTTGGAAGGACAAAGAATGCTGAGTTGCATCCAAAGAACACCATACCTACTGTGAAGCATGGGGGTGGAAACATCATGCTTTGGGGCTGTTTTTCTGCAAAGGGACCAGGACGACTGATCCGTGTAAAGGAAAGAATGAATGGGGCCATGTATCGTGAGATTTTGAGTGAAAACCTCCTTCCATCAGCAAGGGCATTGAAGATGAAACGTGGCTGGGTCTTTCAGCATGACAATGATCCCAAACACACCGCCCGGGCAACGACGGAGTGGCTTCGTAAGAAGCATTTCAAGGTCCTGGAGTGGCCTAGCCAGTCTCCAGATCTCAACCCCATAGAAAATCTTTGGAAGGAGTTGAAAGTCTGTGTTGCCCAGCGACAGCCCCAAAACATCACTGCTCTAGAGGAGATCTGCATGGAGGAATGGGCCAAAATACCAGCAACCGTGTGTGAAAACCTTGTGAAGACTTACAGAAAACGTTTGACCTGTGTCATTGCCAACAAAGGGTATATAACAAAGTATTGAGAAACTTTTGTTATTGACCAAATACTTATTTTCCACCATAATTTGCAAATAAATTCATTAAAAATCCTACAATGTGATTTTCTGGAGAAAAAAAATTCATTCTGTCTGTCATAGTTGACGTGTACCTATGATGAAAATTACAGGCCTCTCTCATCTTTTTAAGTGGGAGAACTTGCACAATTGGTGGCTGACTAAAAATTTTTTCCCCACTGTATGTTTAAGCAATAAGGCCCGAGGGGGTGTGGTATATGGCCAATATACCACGGCTAAGGGCTGTTCTTAAGCACGATGCAACGCGGAGTGCCTGGACACAGCCCTTAGCCGTGGTATATTGGCCATATACCACAAACCCCCGAGGTGCCTTATTGCTATTATAAACTGGTTACCAATGTAATTAGAGCAGTAACAAGAAATGTTTGTCATACCCTTGGTACATGGTCACAGCTGTCAGCCAATCAGCATTCAGGGCTCGAACCACCCAGTTTTATAATATGTTTTAGGCCTAATCCACTCTTTTAAAGATATTGTTAATATTTCATCTGAACCTAAATGAATGACTGAAAAAGCCCAGTATGTCAGTCCACAAAATGTCTGTGTTGTTTTCCACTTTTCCTTTGTTCAGTAATTAACTGCATGTAAAACAAGTTGTACTGAATATGGAAGTTGGAAAATATAATTCAGACAAACAGTGTTGGGACATGTTGACTTGATAACTTAATTATTGCAACATCATACAATACATTTATTGATCATTATTACCCTGCATTCTTCATAATTTGCCAACCAGGAATAATTACTACCCATGCTAAATGTGTACTTGAACAGTATTAATTGATTACTGTTTTGACGGGTAATTATAATCACAAGACAAATCAAGACCTCAAACAGACAGTCTATTTTATATTTCACCCTGTTTGCCGTTTGTTTTCCGTCTAGGAATACATCCATCTCCAGAGAACTGTGAAAGTAGACGTGGATTCATCAGGAAAGAGATGCAAAGAGAAGATGATGAGAGTTCTTTGCGAAACTCAAGTCTCAGACCCCAAAAGGTTAAGGGTTTCCTCAGCTTTTCTATATGAATTTGTGTCATAACGTGGGCATTGTGCAATTGTACATTTTGAGCATTGGAAAGGTCTCTGGCAATGTTTTAAGGTTTTACAGACAATAGCCATCAGCCACATGCATTCCAAGAACTCACTGTAATCAGTCCTTGATTTCTCCTACTGCGCCACTCTCTCATCCCTCAATGTGTTTCTTTCTCTCATTCACAGGATCTCATCTTTTGAAGTCAAAGAGTTTTTGTCCCTCGAGGAGCTGAAAAGGGAGTTTGAGCAAGTTGGACTATTAGAACTGTACCAAGAGTTTGTGCCCACATTGCTGTAGCCATCATAGCTTTTGTCAAGCAATGCTTTTCCAGACTGGTGCAGATTGTGAACTTGATACTTTCCGTATGACAGTCAACGGACGGACTAATCTAAACATCTGATTAACATTAAATTATGGGTTACATGTGTGCATTGAAAATGTAAAAGGTAATCAAAAGGTGTTCATTTGATTTGATTATTTTGTCATCTTTGACTTTTTTCTACCATCCACTTGATGGCGGCAAAGTCTACCATCTGAATCAGAGATTTGTAAAGTTGTTTGTTTATTTAAATGTTTTTTTATTGTCACACACTGGATAGGTGCAGTGAAATGTGTTGTTATACAGGGTCAGCCATAGTAGTATGGTGCCCCTGGAGCAAATTAGGGTTAAGTGCCTTGCTCAACGGCACATCGACAAGTTTTTCACCTTGTCAGCTCAGGTATTCAGTAAGGCTATTCCCTAGTTGAAAAGTTGTGCCTTGCTTTCTACTCCTGACAGATTCGTTCCTCCCTCTTGTACCTCTTCATCAGATGAAATACATGAAGGTTAAGGTCATATAGAAAAACGTATATAAAGTGGTGCGCAAAACCCTGATGTTACACGGACGTTACATCATAGAACTTAGCTTCGGACCATACAGTTTTAGCATTCAGCTTACATACAGTGCATTCGGAAAGTATTCAGACCCCTTGACTTTTTCCAAAAATTTTTACCTTACAGCCTTTATTCTAAAATTGATTAAATATATTTTTTCCTCATCAATCTACACACAATAGCCCAAAATGACAAAGCGAAAACATGTTTTTATACATTTTTGCAAATGTATTACAAATTAACAGAAATACCTCATTTACATAAGTATTCAGACCCTTTGCTATGAGACTCGAAATTGAGCTCAGGTGCATCCTGCTTCCCTTGATCATCCTTGAGATGGTTCTACAACTTGATTAGAGTCCACCTGAGGTAAATTAAATTGATTGGACATGATTTGGAAAGGCACACACCTGTCTATATAAGGTCCCATAGTTGACAGTGCATGTCAGGAATTGTCCGTATAGCGCCAAGACAGGATTGGGGAAGGGTACCAAAAAATGTCTGCAGCATTGAAGGTACCCAAGAATACAGTGGCCTCCATCATTCTTAAATGGAAGAAGTTTGGAGCCACCAAGACTCTTCCTAGAGCTGGCCGCCCGGCCAATCTGAGCAATCAGGGGAGAAGGGCCTTGGTCAGGGAAGTGACCAAGAACCCGATGGGCACTCTGACAGAGCTCCAGAATTCCTCTGTGAAGATGGGAGAACCTTCCAGAAGGACAACCATCTCTGCAGCACTCCACCAATCAGGCCTTTATGGTAGAGTGGCCACTCCTCCTTGATATAAACATGCTCCAGAGCACTCAGGACCTCAGGCTGGGGCGAAGGTTAAACTTCCAACAGAACAACGACCCTAAGCACACAGCCAAGAAAACGCACGAGTGGCTTTGGGACAAGTCTCTGAATGTCCTTGAGTGGCCCAGCCAGAGCCTGGACTTGAACCCAATCGAACATCTCTGGAGAGACCTGAAAATAGCTGTGCAGCGATGCTCCCTATCCAACCTGACAAGAGCTTGAGAAGATCTGCAGAGAAGAATGGGAGAAACTCCCTAAATACAGGGGTGCCAAGCTTGTAGCGTCATACCCAAATAAGATTTGAGGCTGTAATCTCTGCCAAAGGTGCTTCAACAAAGTACTGAGTAAAGGGTCTGAATACTTATGTAAATGTGATATTTCCATTAAATAAAAAATACTTTTCCAAATATCTCGAAATACCTGTTTTTGCTTTGTCATTATGGGGTATTGTGTGTAGATTGATGAGGGAAAAAAACAATTTAATCAATTTTAGAATATGGCTGTAACGTAACAAAATGTGGAAAAAGTCAAGGGGTCTGAATGCACTGTAAATGGTTAGCTGAATCCGTGTAGCGAAACCAAATGTAAGTTCGCAAGACTTCCAGATGGTTGTACAAGGTTAATAAAGTGTACAGTTTAACAAAAAAAATATAAGATTCCGGTCAACAAAGGCATATCTATAATCTCTAGGACTGCTATCAAAAACAGATTTTATCCAGGGTCTTTCGTTCCAACGATTAGCCTACTATTGTCATTTTCCAACAGGAAAATACTTGCTTCTTCGACTTAATGTCCATACACATTAAGGCTGTAATCAATTTCGGATGGCAGGTACAGGAACAGGAGCAATGTGCAACTAGGATGCTGTCTGTATACAACATCCTAGTTGCGATCCGAAGCTACGTAGGGCTGTGTAACAACATGTCCCATAACACTGTTCATGTCTATGTAACTGCCATTTAAATACATGGGTTTTATTTAGCGTCACTTAAAAATACTGAACTGAAAAGTTGTTGCAAAGTTTATCTCAAACTGTGGGAAGCATACAGAACCACTCATCATATATTCCTGCCTCCATCCGTCCATAAATAAAATAGAGGCCGCAACATAACCATTACTCAGAGTTCCCTGTATATCAATTGTTTTCTCCCGTACAGAAGGCCTGCAAATGAGGCCATTTAAATATTAGGCAGAATTTTATTGATCGTCTTAAAACAGCTGCGTATTGGAAGATGGATGTCTTTTACCTTTCTGAGGCACATTCAATCATATCTGCTTATTCCTGTCCTACCTATTAACGAGCTGTCATGGGTATCTGCACTGAATTCCTAAGGTTGTTGATAGGAAACAAACAGAGATTCATAGTGTCACTGTCAATGGTACAGGTACAGAATGTTACAGGAGACGTGTCATTAAACAATATATAGGTACAGAAAGGTATAGTCTTTATGAATGGTATACTATACATGTATAGAATTGAACCGGAGAGTGTCCGAATGAATGGTAGATACGTAAATAATGGTACAGTCCGTATGAATGGTATACGTACAGAATGGTATGGTGTCTGTATGAATGTTATACAGGTACAGAATGGTAAAGGGCAGCCATACGCAACTGGCAGACTGCGATCCGGACCCAGAACAGGGTCAATACAGGCTGCGGGTCCAGACTTTTTAATGTTTAATTTTTTGTTCTTTTTTTTGGTAGTGCATGGACAGTTTTCCTCTTATGTCATTCACTGACAGACCTTGGAGAGCTATTTATAACCTGTCAGAAATGTCCAGTTGATCAACTAGCCCATGTTAGCTAGGTAGATAAGTTAGGCTAACCATATATCTAAATCTTGTAGTTATCATGGCCAGATTACGTGGCCAGGGGCCTCGACCCCCAGGGGGCCCCCATTGATTTTGTTGAGTAATTCAGGTATCATATGAATAAGACATGGCAGAATTTCAAGAAATTAGCTTTGAAACGGCAACATTTTCTGTCCTCCCCATTTCAGAATTTGTAGAATTGCAGGAAATTTGCTATAAAACTGCAAAATGTTCTCTCCGCCAACAAGAGGGGTGTGAACAGTTGAAACTGTTTGGGGTCACATGGGTTGCAAGGTGGTAGTTTGTTTCTTCGCCGATAAATGACAATATCCATCCGGACCTCCTAGGAAATGTTTGTGACCGGACCTTCTCAAATAGTAGTACCCCTAGTATAGGAGATAGTCCTTGTGAATGGCGTAGGGATATAATGTAATTTATTTTCTCAGTGATATACCAGACCTTAATGAAACCCACTCACTCCAAAACCTTTACCACCTCCTGCCCCGGACAATCAATCCACCTGGCCTGCCCTTTTCCCTGACACACAGTCTCAAATAACACTGCTTAAATGTCACTCACCTACTGGCATTTCATTGGATAAAACGGGGCTTAGAGCAGAGACATCAGGTCCAGTCAGTCAGGAAATAGAGATTATGACACGCAACTATTTTGTCTGTTCAACCTCAAATCAGTATAAGGATTGATTTATAAGCTCAGTGGTGGTTTCAGAAATGTGTTGCATGAACATCCCTGAGGTAAGACTTCACACCAGAAGAGAACTATGGCACCTTTTAGTCTAGATATATCCATGTTAGTAGAGACTTACCCATCCATCATATTGTATGTCCTCCCTCTGTTCCAAGAGATATTCGTAAAGTGGGCAGTCCCTTGTTCTGTGGGCCTTTGGTGAGAGGCCTTCATGAGAGAGGCCTTCAATGTGAGTACTTAAATTGTAACTTCTTGCATACCTATAGAACACTTTACTCAGAAACTGCTGTGTATCAGAAGAACAGTTCTTCATGACCTCACGTTTCCTTCTATGTCCCATAGACCGTCCTAAATGTCATAAACCTTATCAGCGTGGCTGGGCTGGACTGGACTGGACTGGACTGGACTGTTGCTGGGAACAAGGTATAACCTCTGACCTGTAGTGGACTTAGGCTCAATAACCTTGAAGAGTAGTAACAACATACGCTATTGCTGTTTTTGTTAATACGGTCTCTCTTGTTTCCCCTGACACAGGACAGGAAGGACTTTTTCTCTGTATACGAGACGCTCGTGAAATATGCCGGGGATGTGGCGAATCGTGTCACGATTGAAGAGGGGTTGGATCAACATGGCGTAAGTTCACCATTTCTTTTACACCTCTTTTTGACTTTACATATGAATACCTTCCACAATGGGTACCTTGCACGATAACATGTGTCTCGTAACCCCTCAACAGCCCTCCTTCTCTATCACCCTCACACACCCTCTCTCACCCTTTCCCTTACACCTTTACTTTGCAAATAAATACATATTTATATACTTGGACTATCTGTGTCTGCATTCATTCAATTCCTCAACATTTTCAAATATTAATTCTGTTGCACATATACCAAACCCCACACAACGTTCTGCAATCTTTATCAGCATAATGAATAATGAATGTGGCATTTCACCCTGAACTGACTGTGGTAACGCCACTCTTATCTTTCTCATGAGCTGCCCTCACAGCAATGGTGACAACACACACACACACACACACACACACACACACACACACACACACACACACACACATACACACACACACACACACACACCTGCCTCAA